TAGAAGAACCTAACAACTAAGCCAATAAACCAGGCTGAAATGTGTCTGTGTTTTTCATCTGTAGATCCAGTATTCTCTGGGTATGGGCTGATAGTGTGGTCCACCCAGAGCTTAAAGTAGGGTAGCAAAAACTACATGCTATAAGTATTAATGATGTTAGTGATGACTGTAATGATGTAGCTATAAAATGGTCCCCATAAGAGGTTCATGGGATAAAGACTTGGTCTCCAGTGCAGTATATTTAGGTAGAACTTTTATATATACATATACATATACATATACATATACATATACATATACATATACATATACATATACATATACATACATATACATATACATATATATATATATATTTTAAATGCATATATATATGTATATATATATGAGAGAGTGTACTGTCACTGTCTTCAGACACATCAGAAGAGGGCATTGAATCCCATTATAGATGTCTGTGAGCCACCATGTGGTTGCTGAGAATTGAACTCAGGACCTCTGGAAGAGCAGTCAGTGCTTTTAACCACTGAGCTATTTCTCCAGCCCAGAAACTTTTGCTTTTAATTAGATGAGATATTTTTTCTTCAATTTTAAAAAATGACTCATTTATTTAATTTTATGTGTATGAATATTTTGCCTGCAGGCATGTATGTGTATCACATGCCTGCCTGGTGCTAACAGAGGCCAGCATAGATCTTCAGATCTACAGGAAGTGGATTTATAATTGGTTGTGGACTACCATGTGGTTGCTGGGAGTCAAACCCACGCCTTTTCCAAAAGCAGTCCAGTCTCTTATCTGCTGAGACAGCCATCTCTCCAGCTCTCTTAGGTGAGAGGTTTGAGATGTGATTGGATTACAATGGCTCTGGTTTTATCAGCGGATTCATCCACTATGGATTTATAATTTGGTGGAACTATTGGGAGGTGGCAGAGACCATGTCTTACTCATCACTACAGTTTTAGCATTTTAGTATAAAGCTAAATTTCTCTATGTGTGTGTCTTTCTCCCTCTCTTTCTCTTTTACTTATATGCTCTTACATACATGTCCCTAGTTCCTTCTGATCTATTGTTTCCTCTTTAGTCTACAAATGTCTATGCATATTGAAACTTTGTGGGTATAGGTGGAATCTAAATAATCTACACATTGAGCAGCAGCATCTCCAATTCACTGATGCCTGCGTGCTGGTGATCTGGAGTCATCAGCAGGTGTATGTGCAGAAACAGTAGGAAGGATTCTGCTGATTTCTGAGCTAGTGATCTCTGGAGACTGGCTCTGCTGGGGTTTGCTTCTATCTAACCAAACCAGATACCGTCTACAGAACGCTGGGGAAGAAGTTGTCTCCTGACCCAAAGGACTCTAAGATGAGGTACAAATATGATCTCACTCTACTCCAGAGCCTATGCCACATGTGGAGAAAGAACTTTCTCTTCAGCTTGGGTAAATTTCTGGGCTGTTTGGTTCTGGGGTTTTTAGCTTTTCTCTGCCTGATATAGATTTCAATAGGATCTTTTATGTCATCTGGGGAGTGAGCTATACTAAATGTATTCATTTTGACATTTTGTTCTGTTGTGCAGAAGTAGGAATAGAGTTATCTTTTTCCCTAGAATATTAAAGTAGCTTAAACTGTTGAAATACTGAAAGCACACATATTAAAAATTACAACTTTGGGTTGCTTAAAACAGTTTGTTACAGAATTAGGGTTCACTATAGTTTTACTGACTTTAATAGAAATTTACCAAAGTAATTGAAAAATAAAGAATTAGAATCAATTTAGTCATTATTTCTTCATAAATGCGTGCATATGGGTTTCTATTTTCTTCTCCTCTCATGCTTCAGATATGGCTCAGTATTGTGTTGTCACACACTGACCTGTATTTCAAATTTTGATCCTTTGTTCATTGTGGAGTTTTACTTAGTTTTTTGCTAAAATATCATTTCTCTTGTTTGGTGGCTTTTTTTTTTGGTACAGAAGACAAATTCCTCATTCACTTTATCTTAGGTGACTCAGCATCTGCAAGCCCAAGACATAAAATGACCCTTGAATTCTTATGTGAACTTGAGACAGAAACATTTTGTGTGTATTTGTATGTATGTGTATATGTGTGTGTTGGATGTGCACGTGTGTGAGCATGCCATTGTACATGTGCAGAGATCAGAGGACATTCCCAACCCTGTTCTGTCACTCTCTGCCTTACTCCCTTGAGGCTGTCTTTCCCTGAACCTTGAAGCTAAAGCTAGGCTAGTGGCCAGCAAGCTCCAGTGATGCTCTTGTCTCCCACCTCCATAGTGCTGGGACCGTAGACTTGAAGGACTATGCCTGGCTTTTTAAATGCATAACAAGCACTTTTGCAACTGAGCTGTCTTCCCAGTCCTTAGATTTTTATTCAGAAACAGAATTAAAGACAGTTCCTGTGTGCTCAAGCCAAAGTAGATTTGGGTTTTCTGTTGCTTGTAATATAGTGTAGTGTGCCTCATAGACAGAAATCAGATTTTGCATCTTGATCTATGACTAGTTTTTATTTACTTAACTATATGTCCTCATTGATACTTCTTTGTGTGTGTGTGTGTGTGTTTGAGTGTGTGTGTGTATTTTCATGTGTGTAGAGGTATACATGTGTGCATGTGTGTTCATTAGTGTAGAGATCAGATGTCAACTTCAGTTGTTTTTCCTCAGGAGTAACATTTTTGATAAGTCAGAGACTTTTACTGAGACCTGGGGTTTCCTGAATAGTGAGGCTGGTCTCTAGCAAATCCCAGTGATTCTCCCATCTTTACCTTTAAGCAGTGGTATCACAAGTACATGTCAGAACATACAGCTTCTTATGTGGGTGCTGGAGCTCAAATCAGAACCTGAAGTGCTTTACAGACAGTTATCTCTCCAGCTCTTAGATATAAATACAAGCAAGCAAGCAAGCAAGCAAACAAAAAACTGGAAACAAAACATTTCATTGCAATATAGGTATCCTAACTTACTACCCTAAGATGGTTATGAAGTTATACAGCTAACTTGATAGTGTAAGTATGTAGATGTCTGTAGATTCTCTTGCTGTTGCTATGATTTCTGAAGGTAGATGGCAAAAGTTACTGAACAGAACCTTTGCAGAGTTAAAACCTTTAAAAGTGCTGAGCCATAGTAGAGCATGTCTTTAATCTCAGCACTCCGGAGGCAGAGATGGATGAATCTCTGAGTTTGAGGCCAGCCTGGTCTACAAAGTGAGTTCCAGGACAGCCAGGGCTACACACAGAAACTCTGTCTCTAAAAACCAAGCCAAACCAAACCACCACCCCCATCACCCCCCATCCACTCAAACCTAAAAAACCAACCATCCAGCCAACCAACCAACCAACCAACCAACCAACCAGCCAGCCAACCAACCAACAAAAGACCGCAAACAAACAAATCAAAAAACAAAACAACAAAACCTCAAATCAAAACAAAAGCAAGCAAACAAACAAACAACAAGAAAATACAACAATAAACATTTAGAAGCTGTTCTCAAGTTACTGTCCACAGTGGCCATCGAAAGTTACATGTCTTCAAAGGGAGCTATTTTCCTTATATTTTTAAGAGGACATATTTTATTTCTTTAAACTTTATGTGATTTTCATTTCTTTAAATATTATGTGATTGAACATCTGTTCATATGTATAGACTGATTTTATTATAGTATATATTGTCCATTTAGATTCTTTGCAGGTTTAAAAATACTTCTTTATTTTCATTGACCTTTATTATTTCAGGACATCAATCTTTTTTCTATTGCAAGCATTGTATATATCTTTATTCTAGAATTACTTTTTTTTTTATATCCTCCACTCTGCTTTTACAAAACTGTCAGTCATTTGTTACTTTCTATGGAATTTGGTTCTCTTATTTTATTTAGACCTTTCAAATGCCAAAAATGTTTTATCTTAAAACACTCATTTTAGTTCTACATATCCTTATAGTTTTGCTGTTTAGGCATCTGGAATTTCTGTTTGTTTACCTAACAAGTTGGGAAATAGTCTTTTTCTCTCACAAAAATAACCTAGTCAAATATCCCAATGTCATCAACTGAATAGATTAGATCTAATTAATAGGTTAATAGATTAGATCTCCATTAGATCGGAAGTGTAAGTTCCAAATATATTTCCATTGGTTACTTGGATTTCTGTTACGTTTATCTCTTCACTAACAGTAAGAGGGCTTCCTGGGTGATAATGTACAAACTAGGGGATTTAGGGGATTTTCAAAGTAGAAAGATTTGTTGTAGGTGAGGAAAGTGCTTGCCAAAAGTGATGAAAACTGGAAAATTCAGGTTCTGAGTGGAGAGCAGGTAACACTGTAAATTAACCTTGACACCATGTCTAAAGCTGAAAAAAAAAAAGAAGAGGAAGAATGTAGGATTGTGGAGGGTTTTCTATGTTTAAAAGATTTTGGCTTTACCCTATAAGTTGATAGGGTTATTAAAGAAAAACACAGGGACTAGGAAGATGGCCCAGTGGGCAGGAGTGGTTGTGAAAGGAGGTGGACCTGGGTTCAGTTTTCCAGGACTCATACAAATAGTTGGACATTTCTGTAAGCATCTGTAACTCCAGCACTGGGAGGTTGAACAGGAGGTTTCTGAGAGTTTGGTGGCACACACACACAGACACAAAGACACACAGACATACATGCATACACACACACACACACACACATGAACACAAACCGTACCCCCATACCTCACATACACCAAAACAAAACAAACCACAGTAAGCATTTTGTCACCAAGGCTGTATCAGATCTGCTCAATGTAAAGGGGTAAGGATGTGAGGCCTTGCCTAGCATAGGAGCAACAGGTGAATGATCAAAGCCTGGAAAAGAGTTAGGTGGAACACGTGTGTGTGTGTGTGTGTGTGTGTTCCAGACACTGCCGAGGTGTGGTCAGGAACACTTGCTTGTATCTCAATGCAAATGTGGGAAATGGAGGAGTAATGTTATTCACTTGTAAGTCACTGTGATGTTTGCTCACCGCCTACCAGAGCTCACAGCTGGCTCTTCCTACTGTTTCTCCATTCTTCACAGGAAGAATTCAAAAGCAAACATGCTTGGAACTAACTTCACCATCATCCATCCAACTGTGTTCATCCTACTTGGAATCCCAGGGCTGGAGCAGTACTACACCTGGCTTTCTATCCCTTTTTGTCTCATGTACATTGCTGCAGTCTTGGGAAATGGAGCCCTCATCCTTGTTGTCCTGAGTGAGCGCACCCTCCATGAGCCCATGTATGTCTTTCTATCCATGCTGGCTGGCACTGACATTCTCCTGTCAACCACCACTGTGCCTAAGGCCTTGGCTATCTTTTGGTTCCATGCTGGGGAGATCCCCTTTGATGCTTGCATTGCTCAGATGTTTTTCATCCATGTTGCTTTTGTGGCTGAGTCGGGAATCCTTCTGGCCATGGCATTTGACAGATATGTGGCTATTTGTACTCCTCTGAGATACTCAGCTGTATTAACACCTATGGCAATTGGAAAAATGACCCTGGCCATCTGGGGACGGAGCATTGGGACCATTTTCCCTATCATATTCCTGCTGAAGAGGCTGTCATACTGCAGGACCAATGTCATCCCACATTCATACTGTGAGCATATTGGTGTAGCCAGATTGGCCTGTGCTGACATCACTGTCAATATCTGGTATGGTTTCTCAGTGCCAATGGCTTCAGTTTTGGTAGATGTTGTACTCATTGGTATTTCTTATACTTTGATCCTCCAGGCTGTATTTAGACTTCCTTCCCAGGATGCCAGGCACAAGGCCCTCAACACCTGTGGTTCTCACATTGGGGTCATTCTCCTCTTCTTCATACCATCATTTTTTACTTTCCTTACTCATCGATTTGGCAAGAACATCCCCCATCATGTGCACATTCTTCTGGCAAATCTCTATGTGTTAGTTCCTCCCATGCTTAACCCAATCATCTATGGTGCTAAGACCAAGCAGATTAGAGACAGCATGACTCACATGTTGTCTGTTGTGTGGAAGTCTTGAGAGTGGTCACAGTTCACAAAGCTGTCTCAGTTTCTCTTACCAACAGGGAGAGAGAGAGGGAGAGGGAGAGGGAGAGGGAGAGGGAGAGGGAGAGGGAGGGAGAGGGAGAGAGAGAGAGAGAGAGAGAGAGAGAGAACTTGCCAGTGAGTTCCTACATTCAAGAACGGTGTTATCTGTTACAGAAAGCAAATGAGTACTAGAGTACTAGAATAAAATCTCTATGGATTCAAATCCTGGTTCTATTTCATTTTGATTGTGAGCCATGGGAGTTCATGTCTTTTGGAAATTTAATTATAACCTATAAAATAAAACTTCTTTGCCTATGTTCTAAGCTCTTTGTGAGGATTAATTTGAATATACGGACCACTTGGTATAATGCCTGGCATTATATACGTTCTTGATAGCTGTAATTTGAACTTGAAGCATAGTGATTGAAAAAGATAATTTTGATTTTATTTATATGAGATGTCCAGAGGCCTCTCTTCTCTCTCATGATTGCCTGTTCAGATTACACCATGACCGTCATCTTTTTCAGCATCATGGCTGCCATCACTACACAGCTCCAGTAAATATAAAAGTAGGTGAAAATGTCAGAGTACCTTGAAGTACACCAAAGTGTTTAAATACGTTAAGGTTGAGATTGATTGTATTTATACATAAGGGAACTTGATCATTGTTATAGATAAAGAAATCCACTTCTTCATCTAGCAAGTGAGTCATATGAGACAGCACAGACACAATCTATAGAGTGCTGAGTGTCTGAGCTGAATGCATGAACAAAGAATAAATATAATCAGATCATACTGGTAATATAAAAGTAAATGGTATCTAACTAAACATTCTGATTTGAGGTCCTTTAGAGTTTTTCCCCCTCATCAGTTGTCCAGCTTTAAACCTGACAAACCCAGTTGTCTGGCTTTAACTCCCATTAACTACGATGACTACCTAATTAATAATTCCAGCTTAGTCTTTTCCTTTGTTATCCACATTCATGCATTCATCTCTTTCTTTTTCATAACTAAATTCCATCCTTGACAGTTTCATGTACTATATATAATACATTTGATTGTTTTTACCCCCATTTTTGTTTTAAGTTTAAAAATGAAAAAAAAACACACATGTATGGGTATTTTTGTCTTCATGTGTGTCTGTGCACCATGTATATGCTTTGTGCCCATAGAGGCCAAAAGAGGGTGTTAGATGCCCTAGAATTGGAGTTACAGATTGTGCAAGCTGGGATCTGAATCCAAGGCCTCTGTAAGAATGGCTGGTATTCTTAACTGCTGAGCCACCTCTCCAGCATCTCACTCCTTATTACATTCTGTCACCTCCCAAATTCTAGTCCATTTCTCATACCCAGGGCTACTTGTGTTCATGAGTTCAGAACTACCATGGAGTGTGGTGGGCTCAGCAGTGTAGATAGCCAAGATTCTAGGGAGAGGGCCATCACTGTCTTCAGTTGGAGTAAACTATCTCTTGGCATTTCCCTTTTTGTGTCTTGCAGGCATTTCAGAATAAACATGTCTACATTAGAAAGGCAGCTTAAGCTACACTGTGTAACAAATCATAAAATTTCAGGGGAATTAGCAAAAGAAATGTCACTGTTATTTCATTTAAAATGTTGCTTGTGGCAGTAGGAGCTACTCTTTGTGTAGTGGCTGCTGTGGTAAATGTATCATCTTTAGTCTCACATTCTCACCTATAGTCTCATGTTCTTGAACATGCAGTCTTCTTCCTGGTGCCAAAATGTTGGGTTAAGAGTTATAGCAGTTCTTTCTTCCCCATTCTGAGTCAGTGTCTCACTATGTAGCCCAAGTTGGTCTTGAACTCACCAGGTAGACCGGGCCAGCCTCAAATTTGCAACCTTGAGTGCTGGGATTACAGCTACCATGCTGGACTTTATGTTGATTTTTAATAGTTCAAATGTTTTCTTAGTCAAGCTGTTGGTTTCATTGGTAAGATATGTTTATTAGATCCCCAGGAGACCTCTCATGGTTTGATTCCATGGTATGCCAATCAGTACCTCTTAATGTCTTCTATAGACATAATTCTTAACTTTTCTCTATTTCTCTCTTGATAGCCTTTGTGTTTACTTCTGTAACTTACTGGAGGATAATTTGTAGTAATAACGATTTATTGAGACCTTTGCTGTTAATTGCCTCATATGAAGTATTTATTGGGCACAACACTCATAACACAAACTTCTCCCTAAGGTATTTTATTTAATGAAGACGTTTTGTTGGGATAGTTTTGCTTGAAGCTTTGAAAGAACTTATTGTGAATGGGAAAGGTACAACTGGCTTTTGCCAGTGTTGGAGATGAATCAGTACAACAAACCAAGAACCGTGCACAGAAGAGTCAGATTCTCCTAGGACTTGCAGAGTTATTTCCAGAAATACACACAGCCTTGTCCACACTTTTATTTTAGCTTCAAGAAATGCACTTCAGACCTCTGACCTGCAGAACTGGAAGAATGTAAAGACATATTGTTTCAAGCCATTAAGTCTCCAAGCCACCTTGTTTCCTGCTGAAAAAGTGACCAATTATTTATGTTTTCTTCTCATTTAGCTACCTCAGAAATGTAGCCAACACACATTACCAACCTTTTCTTTCCCAACATATCTTCTGCTGGTGCTGTGAGTTCAGGTGGTCTGATCTCACGGGGACACCCCTGAACCAATCGTCTCCCTATTACCATTAAGCTCTCTTCAGCTTCTGTCATAATTTGGCAACTGTTAAGATTTCACACCCACTAATTGATTATTCATTCACTTACTTCCAGCCATGAACAGGGAGAGAAATTACAGAACACACAATCCTGTTAACCTCCAGCCATGCAGGATAAAAGTTCTTAGGAAGCTATGAGGGACTTTGTAATCTCACCTCTAGATGGGGCCACACGACTGGCTATCATCAAGAAGTACAGGCAGAGGTAATTAATAGGTATCTCTTTCACATTAAGGTCATTGAGTATCCTGCAGATTCTCTGTGACCTCTGGAGGAAGACAGCAGCCCTTAAAGTGAAAGGGTTTTAGAAGTCCATTAGAGGCTCTTGAACTCACCCATCCTTGTTTAAGGGCTGACTACTTGTAGCTGTGCTTCAGTTTTTTGAAGTACCAAGAAGTATTATTTTACTAACAGGAATTTCAAAGGATGGGGCAGTTGTAGTATGAGCACCTTAACACTACCCACAGACATAACTGTTATTGTGTGCTTCACCACGTGCACTACTGGGGTAGTCAGAATGGTTTCAATATTCATATTTTACCCCCTAGCTCTTACGTTTTTAGAGGCTGAAATTGCAGATCATGAATGATGCACCTGTCTTACTGGGAGAGAATGCAGCTTTACCATGTGAATACCTGAACATGGCTCTCAAATTCACCTATCCTCGTTTAAGGGCTGATTATCCGTGGCTGTGCTCCAGTTTTTTATTTCCTGTGTCATTCTGTACTAAACCATGTAGTTCTGATTTCCTCATGATTCATATCGTTTTTCCACATCCAGAGCCTGTTTTACAGGCAGCTCATTGTTAAGCCTGGATTCATCTATAGATGTCTTTGAAGGATGCTTTTGTTCACAGGTGTGTGTGTGTGTGTGTGTCTCTGTGTGTGTATCTGTGTGTTTTCAGATAAATCTCTATATAGTTCAGGCTATCCTCAAACGTATGATTCTTCTTCCACTGCATCTCAAGAGTTGGGATTTTAGGTCTGTGGCAGTCCATTCACCTACATTATTTTTACTTACTGCTAAAAATACCAATAGGTAATGCTACCTTTACTTTCTTTGACTACTTTGTGCCATCCTTAGTGAATTTGTTGGATAGGTTCAGGAATAGGAACTCCCTGCCAGACAGATACCCTGTTTTGTTCATAGTTTCATTAGAGTTAAAAATTTTAAAAAATTATTTCAATGCTATAAAAGGGAATATGGAATGATTTTAGAATACTTTGAATTTTATTGTAAATAAATTACTACTCTATGGAATTCACATTTAGACATAGTCTTTTCTGCTTCATCTTTCTCCCTCCTCATGCATACTAGGCATGCTCTAACCTCATCTGTCTCTTGATTTTCTGAACATTGTAATCACATAGAGAAATATCAACTTTGTCTTTGCACAGATGAGGAGAGAAATTTGAGAGGTTGGTAAATTTCAAATAACATAATTCCCTCTTGGCTTTGGGACTGTTGTTGACAAGTAGAACAAGTTCTTCAAGCAGAGTTAGAATTTATTGATTTATAGGATAGGAAGAAAGTCTCAGAAGCTAGATATTTGGCCATGCATGTAGGATATTAAGTCTTCATTTTGATTCAGATAATCATATAACATTTCCACGTTGTCTTAGTAGAAGGGGTATGTGACCAATATATATTGAGTGACTTAGAGAGTCATCTTCCATTCAGAAAATGTGTATGTGCGGATTCCTTTCTAGGATGTGGAATACAGATATGTCCTGACAGGATGGAATATGTAAGTAATGAATCCTTTCTTCCATTGTCTCTCACTCCTTACTGTTTTATATCACATTACATTATATTACTTATATTACATATGATATATTATATTCTTATGTATAAACTCTGTTTCATAAGAAAAATGGTATCCTGAGTTTTGTGCATCCAGTTGATTGACAGCATGACTTCTTATCTTACCATTAAGGGAATTCTTCACCTCAGTTGTAAATTGGAGTGCATCACATACAACATCAAACACTTAGGGAGTGTGGAGAGCTCTTAGTATTGCTTCAAGGATATCAGTGAGAATATTTGACACTGGGCTAGGACAAGAAAGTAGGCTCAAGATAAATACAACTGAGGAATGTGTTCCTCGTATCTTAATCATCTTGATAAGTCCCTGGAGCCAGTGATCACAGGACTTTTGCTTATGCCTTGTTTGTCCTTGACCAAGAACTGACTCTATTCTTTGTATATACGTAGAATGGTATAAAAGCAGCTGGGAAAAAATAAACTTACCTCAGCACTTGCTGGAGTCATATTGTATTGTCTAACTGCCTTT